TGACGGCGAGCATGTCCAGGGTTTAGGACTCAAGGAGGGGGAAGTGTTGGAGAAGAGAAGACGCAAGGGAGGACGGTGCATGATGCGTGATGCCGTATGCTTACATATGTACCAACTTGCGCGGGACGATGAGGCGATCAGGGCCAACGAGGGCCTTGCCTGTGGCGCGGACTCGCTTCTCGCCGTTGGCAGTGAGGGGAATATCGGTGCGGCCCGTGTGCTTTCCGCTGAGGGACCATTCTGTTTCGCCGTGGCGGACGAGGAACAATCGAGGCGTGGACATGGTGGTTTGGATGTCTTTGGGGGCGGGCGAGCGATGGATGGACGGATGGATGGATGGACGGGAATCAGCGAGCGGGAAGCAGATCTAGCCAATTGGCGGCGTATGAAGGCAGGCCCGGCGTTGGATGGCAAGCAAGGACAGTGTTTGATTATTTCGATTGTCGAAAACGAAAGAAGCAAGACGGGCTGGGCCTCGTCTCTACTTCATCTCCTGGCGAGGAGAGAAACGGAGGGGTGAAGGAGATGGAGGGGCATGGTGACGGCATCGGTAATCGATCGAGCTTATGTGGATCTCGGCGTCTGAGACTGTTGGCCGTTGGCCAGATCTGGCTTTGCTAATGCCTCTTGTCATCAGTTACTAAACATCACCAAGCGACAACAAACAACCCGAGTTGAAGCTCGGCAAGGCGTGTCTCTTGAGGAGACATACACGCAACGACTGACTACTCCCTACCAGCTCTACTCAGGCACTATTCCACCAGACGGGACGACTGCACATGGCACGCAAGTGTTTCAAACGCGTTTCCAACACCCGCACCTATTAGACGCACTGGACATGGCGAAACCAAGCCGGCATACGTTACAGGCGGGGCCGCACCAGACGTCAAACGAGAATCTAAAGTCATCTGAGCATCAATTCATGTCCATGACCTCAACCACCAAAAAAATTAGAAAGGAAAAATAAATAAAGCAACTCCGTCTATGCCTTCAGTTGCATCCAATATAAGCAGCTTATCCCACTGACACACGGGATTAGTCATGCCCCCTGCACGCCCATCTCCAAACCGGCCCCATTGCCGCCTCCAACACCCATGGCGTGCCGGTCCACCTTGAATCTCCATCCTCTCCAACGACATCAAGCCGTCAGCCTTTACAAAGCAAGCCCTCAACCTCATCGCCCGCTTCGCACTCCGCACCGCAGCCCTCTTCAATCGGCAATCCGCACTGCCGCTCAGCTCCCGAGCCCTGCGACACCCCATCCCGCTCACCCATGACACTTGGCTAAGCTTCTCCGTCACGAGGCCCGGGGAAATACCCAACACTCGCGGAACCAGACCACCGAACCAGAATAAAGAAGGGGGGAAATGGCGTATCAGTGGACGCGCCCAGAAAAGTTCAAAAGAGGCGTGTGGTCAGTGGCCGTAGCTGCCGTTATTTGCGTCGGCGCAATCACGGGCGCGCAACTAAAGTCAGATCAACAAAAGGGACAGGTAAGACGTTTTCAAGCTCCCTAAACGGAGCAATTTGAGTTTGCTGATGGGAGATAAGGCCATCAAACAATTCAGAGAAACGTCGACGGCGGAGCAGGTTGCTATTTTGGAAGCGCAAAAAGACCACTTGACACAGCAGAAGCTGGGGTTGGAGCGGAAATTAGAGTCCTTCAAGGAGCGGGTTAGGGAACGGCACGAAAAGGGCGGCAAGTCATAATGGATTGCGCGTATATTGGAAAATGTATGATACAATGCATGGACGGCGTTTTCAGAGATACCCATACACATGTACAATAATATCTGAGTAGCGAAAAAAAAGGGGGGGTTTTACATCTTCATCTTATCCTGCGCTATCTTGTCCTGCCGATGTCACCACTCCACTCTTCAAAGGTATTCGCCTCATCTATTGCGATCCTCATTCCGATACGCCGTCAAAACGAACAGCTTGCCGCATCTACTCCATGGTTCCCTCAGATGAAGGCAAAGGAACAGCCTTGTACAGCAAAATCAGTGCCGAGTGTGACTCGCCGCCGCCGGCCAGGGCCTCGACCTTGTCCACGGTAACCTCAGTCACCTTGTCGTCGTTGAACCACCACCACTTGCCGTCCTCCTCGCCCTTCTCCCCAGTCTTGGGGTCAATGGGTGCTGACTTCTTGACGTACGAGGTGTAGTGGCCGCTATCCGCGCTAGCACCCTGATGGGTGACGACGCCACGGAGCTCGTATAGACCTGACTGGTTTGCACCGTCGTCATTGCGAAGCGCCGGGTCGATCAACGAATTCAGTTCTTTCTTGGCAGCCAGAAGTGCAGCATCCTTCTCTGCGTCAATTTCCGCGTCCGTCTTGAAAGTCTCGCCCATCTCTGTGTCACCGTCCGCAGACGTCTGGGGCTTCTTCTCGGCCTCTTTTTCCTTCTTCTCCTTCTTCTCCCTCTCCGAAGGCAAACCCGCTCCTCCGGGAATATCGCCCACGTCTTGGTCATTGTTCTTCTTACGGCGCTTACGAGCCCGCTCAATGTCCTCTTCGTCCTTCCTCACCTCACGAACTTTGTCACGCACGGGTATCAACGCCTTCTTCAACTCATCCGAGCAAAATTCAACAATATCCAACTCTTGAGGAAAGGTGACTTTTCGCATAATCTTGGCCTTTTTCTGCGTCTCTCGCTTCCAAAAAAATCGTACAAAGTGAACAGTCAGGTATTTGGGGGCGCGGGAAATCTTGGACTTTTTGGTATAAGTAGCGTCGCGGCCCAAGACATCCGACTTCTTCTCCAGCTTCTCACTCAGGGCAGCAAGAATTCCGTCACGCAGATGGTTCGTAGATCCGTCAATATGGCAGTTGAGCTTGTAAAATTGGTCTTTGGATGTCATGACTTGCTCGCCACCATTGCGGGCTTCTTCCTCATCGCATTCCAAGGTTGAAGAAAATTCGCCCGACATGTATTTATCAACAAAGGACATTTCCGGCGCATCATCGGATTCCTTGATCTTGACCTTTTGGCTCAGTTGCTGAACAATTTGCGACCAAGCCTCCTCTGCGTCCTGCTGAGCATAGCCGTTGTTCGATTTGGCCTTTTCTGCAAATTGAGGGAAGACAACCCTCAGAGCGGTGAGGAAGTTCATGGGCGGGAATGCGTCTTGCGTCTCGCTCATTTTCCTGTACAGACTGGCCAGCTGCGAAGCCAAGTCGGCCGAGGCCATACCTGCCATCAGCCCAGACGAATTGGGCTTATATGTCTGCAACGAGGTCTGAAGTTCGGGGATGGATCGCAACGTTTGGAGAGTCGAATTCAAATAGCACGTGTTTCCCAGGTTGACCAAGCCGGCGGGGGTAGCTCCGACTTGCTGAGCTTGTTCGGCTTCGGTCATGTCCTCAACAAATTTGATGCTATCCTTGGGGCGCACAAGATCACCGCCGCCGGATCCGGGAGTGCCCATCATCATTATGACTTGGTTGGGCTTAAGCCCGAGCTTGGTCATGTCGGCATCGTCCTTAAGCTGTCCACCTTTAATCAGGATCTTCTGTCGTTCCGGCTCAACGTTGGTGAGGCTAAAGAGTTGTAGTTTGAAGTCTTCGCCAGTCGATGAGGGGTCGATTTCGACATCGTACTTTTTGCCCTGGTGCTTGACCACGACTAAGGTTGCACTTGTCAGCAAGTTGCCACCAGCGGTGAAGCTCGATGGATGGAGGGGTAAACAAACCAGTCAGTGACGCCATGGCTGCAAGACAAACGCGAGAGAGTCAATACACAGGCAGCAACAGATACTTTCTCGAAGATGTCCACCAGGGAGAGAAGCGAGGAATCTTGCGATGCGAGAAATGCTAGAAGTGAGCGGCAAAGGACTGGTAAGAATGGCGACGGGGATGGTGGGGAGAGAAGCTTTGGGCCTGGAAGCAAGCAAGCAGCCCGCTGCGTCACGGCTGGTACCTGGCGGCCATGAACTCGGCACCGAAGGATGCAAGTTGAGTACTTGAGGTGGGGCCAGCGAATCAAGTCGACCACTCGAGAATCTTGAGCACCAGAAATGATGGACCATGGCCATGCAAGCCTTGTGCAGATATGAGAATGCCTATATTTGAATACTATTTTGGAAGAATAATAGTCTTGTGAGAACTTCCTTATTAATTTCAGCAATGACGCCTGCTTTGGTATCCATCCCCCTTCCCACGGACGGAACACTGTGGCCAACTCCTCGTTGGACTGGGATGAGGGAGCAAGGTCCGCGATGATGGCGCGCTACCCTAAAGCGTGCGCAGCCAAAAACAAATAAAAATTCGAGACGCTCCTATGGACTACTGCTCAGGCGCTCTCGGCGGCTTGTGTGGCAGGTTGTAGTGTTTGTGCTTTTTTTTTTTTTCAGTCATCATTGTTGTTGGGTGTGACATTTTATAGTCATATTTAAATTGGAAAGGAAGTACGGAGTAGACGATCTGGTGTGGTGAAGGTCCTGGCTTCTTTGGTATGGCGTCGCTTTGTAGCATGCATTTTCGGGAGATCTGAGGTAAATTGTCCAGACTGAGTTAACACAATATCTCAAAGGCCAACATGTTTCAAGTCGTGTCTCATTGGACCATTAACAAGTTCATCATCATCAAATAGCTACTTTCATGGCAGGCACAGACATTGCGGTACCGCAGTTCCGAGCAAGAGGGGCACTCTTGGCCGAACAAAAGCGGTTCTTGGACATGACTTCACATGTGCGCTTGAACAAATGAGAGACGGCAATGTACAAGAAATGGCAAAGGTAAATTCGTACATATTTCCTTTACCCTTTGTAATTTTTGACAAGCCAGTCACCATCCCAGCTTCAGTCACTCAGACGTCACGTCACGTCACGTGAGCACAGAAGCCGTGGCCTCCTGGAGTAGCTACGGCCCCACGCAGCAACGTCAGACGGGCGGCCTGAGCCATCCTGAGCGACCCCGCTGAACTGCTCAAGACATCACCGCTGGCGTCACCCAACGTGATTCCTCCCCAAGCTGTCAGAGCTCGCCTCTATCAGCAATTATGGTGAGTAGGGTCGGATTGAAAGGATTGTGGTGATGGGTCCTGGTCTAATCTTTGCCCCTTTGATAGTCTCAATCTCTGCGGCCGTACCTCCAGTGCGTGCGTAGCAGCTTGACTGCTGCGCTGACGTTGTCCAACTTTGCCTCACAAACCGCGGAGCGTCACAATGTCCCCGAGATCGAGGCCCAGACATCTCCTGAAGTCCTTCTGACCCCGTTAACGATTGCGCGAAACGAAAACGAGCGGGTTTTTATCGAGCCCAGCATCAATTCCATCCGTATTAGCATCAAGATCAAGCAGGCAGACGAGATTGAGCACATCCTGGTCCACAAGTTTACAAGATTCTTGACACAGAGAGCCGAGTCCTTCTTCATCCTACGAAGAAAGCCAATCAAGGTTTGTTACTCTCTGACAGATAGAGCAGAGAGCTTCCCGCGCAGCTGCTGACGTGTGCCTACAGGGATACGACATCTCCTTTTTAATAACAAACTTCCACACGGACGAAATGTTGAAGCACAAGTTGGTCGACTTTATTATACAATTCATGGAGGATGTAGACAAGGAAATTTCCGAAATGAAGCTTTTCGTATGTTGTGAATACGCCGTGCAGCGTTCCGTTCGGAGTTTCTCACAACAGCTGACATGGTGCAGTTGAACGCCAGGGCGCGATTTGTGGCAGAGTCTTTCTTGACACCGGTAGGTTGATTGTCTTTTTAGGGTGGAAATCGACAGCTCTGACACTTGCGCAGTTCGATTAAATGAGGGAGGGCGACAAAAAAAGAGCAAACTTAGCTACGGCGAACTGGGACTCAACATTGTACGGGCATCTTCGCTCATCTCTTGACTGGAGAAATGCACCATCTTGAATGAACTTATTCGGGCATCATTCCAAATCAGAGGGACGAATTCAATGAATTCGATGAATAGATGTGATGCTATCCTGGTAGCAGCAATGAACACAATTATCACAACTCGTTTCTTTACTGACATTTTTGCATTGGATTTCCTGTGAAGCTTTTCATCACTTGCAAAGCAAGATGCAGAATCTTTGTGAAACAAAAAGCATAAAAAGCCGCCAATGAGCTGCCTTGGGCGATATCTGAGTTATGACGAGGCTTCTTGCTATCGCTTCGTTTCGCGAGTATTCACCTCGGCACATTGCTAACCCTACCAGACATTCTGCTTGCACTCGGGTTTCGCATGAGGACACTTGAACATGAACAATAAAGGAATCTAGACTAAAAGAATCACGAACCAGCAATCGAGACTGGTCTCATTGTTTATTTTGCTCTGCCAGCTGCAACCGCGCGCTAATATCTGCCCGCCAGCTGGCATTGCCAATACAAAGGTTAAAGCGCGACTGCGACCTCTCCACTACTTCAACCACTCACATTATCAATCTCGGCGCCATAACAGTAACAATCCTTACGCACCCTTGTGAACGTGAACAATAGGGTGGTTGGGCTTTGTTAAACGCCGATCTTTACAAACGTATTTTGGGCTTTTTTTTTTGACTGACTCCTCCCTTGTGCTTTCAATCCTCGTCTTTCCCGTTCCAACACATTTTCTGGAGAATTGAAAGCTGGACACAGGGCTCAAATCCCAGTTTCGCAACTGGGTGTCTGCAGCTTTACTTTTGCGGCAGAACTTGCAACGAGAACCAAAAAGGTGGGCTACTTCGTTCCCTGCCACTTTTCGAGAGCCTAGACACTAGCTCTGACTTGTCTGTTACATTTAACATTTCTTTGTGTTCAAGAACCATGCTTACCAGAGGTAGAAATTTGTTCGTCTGATTTGGTTAGGGATTGGCGAAACTATTACGACCTTTTCCAGGAAATCCATAACACTGTCCACCGAAAAGCTAGTTGCTAATTTCAATTCTGAGCCCGGCGCGACCACAAACTGCCTCGAAACCTGCCAAATCGATTTGCGAGTACAAACTTGACCATGAGCTCCTTGACGTCGCTTAACCCGCAGTCTGCGGCCTGGCTTCCCCAGGAGACAAGCGTCTCCAGCAATGAAAGCGAGGTAAGCACTACTACCAAAGTTCAATGAGACTAGGCTGATCCGTAATTCTCACAGTCTTCGCGCGGAACATCTGGCTACAGAGTTGGGGGCTCTGAAAATACCTGCTCTACTACCACGAGCTTTACTGGCTCTCTGGAAGGGAGCGTGGCACTCGAACTGCTTTCGCATGTGCGACGTTGCGATGCCGAAAAGGACGCAGTTCTCTAGGAGGGAACCAAGTCCAAGACGGTTGACCAAGGTATTATCTTCAACCACAGCCAGACCAGTGTGCTCGATCATCCTGCTGACAAGACTCGCAACACGTAGCTGTGGTGCAAAGCCCCGAGCCTGCCCAGCACGGAGTGTACTCGCAGAGTCACTATAATGAACGAGCATTTTCACCTCCCCAAGCTGGTGCTGGTTTGCCGAGCAGCCACTCTTGTCACTCTGCCTCAGCCCTGTTGAGCCCCAGTACCAGCGGCAGACTTAGCTACGTTGGCTCTGTCTCTGGGACTATAAAGAGTCCTGATTATACCAGGCTTGGGACACTGACGGAGCCGCGAAATTTTGCTCCTCAAACTTCTGGGCTCTCTGCAGCGGTGACGAGCGAACCGCCGCCAAAGTTCGACCTGAGTCTGGCAACTGGTGTTCGAAAAAACGACACCGTTTCCACTAATGCACAGACCATCGTGCATACGACATATTACCCTCCTGGGACTGACCATGATATTGGAAGCACCGCAATTGTGCCATTTGCTGATCACCGCTATGTGTCGCCTCATAGCCAAATCCAGAATTTGCGCTCCGACACCCTTAATCATTTAACGGCTACAGAATCTGGATTGCCTGCGCTTCATAATGCGCTGGATCCGCAATATTTCCCATTTCTTGAAGGTGCTCGTCAGGCCGTTGCCACAAACCATGGCGTTGTGAAGCTAAAGAATGTGAGTTTCAAAGTGCCAGGACCTGGGTTGTTGTCTAATCCAGCTTGTAGATTCCTTTCGCTACGAAACGATCGGAAGTTATTGCTTTCTTGGGACGCAACTCCAAAATTCTTAATGACGCCGATGAGCCGGTTCACATCATCATGGAGCGAGTAACGAGTAAGACAATGGATGCATATGTCGAGTTTGTTACTCTTGATGATGCGAACAAGGCAGTAGAGAAGCATCAACAAAATATCCTCGGCGGTCGCATCAGTCGACTTGGCGATCGACCAGTTGAGGTGGAGCTCTCCAGCCAAGAAAGTCTCATGAAGGATTTGTTTCCTCTTGCCAAAGGTATTATGTGGAATGGAGCGTCTCCTCAGTTCAAGCCGCTGAATCCCAACGAACCGTGGGAAAATTTCAAAGGCTTCGTGTCGGAAGAAGAGATGATTATGCTCGTGAAACATGTCGAGGTCCCTCATCGCGTGAGTCTCGTTGTAATTTCGCTTACTGGTCCCTCACTGATCCCTTCCTTTTTTGCAGTCTCCATTCTCCAAAGACTGCCCACAGCGTCCCTACGAATGCTTGATCAGTACCCTGAAGAAATTCCCTTGGTATGTCACGGATCGCATTACCATTAGCCAGAGGCACGCTGTATTCAAGGCTACCTGCGAGCTCGCCCGACTGCTGTCCCGCAGCATCCAGAAGCAGGATGACCAGGTCAACCTGACGCATCAGCTTTACCGGCGGCTGATAGCCACTGCTATGAAATGCCCTGGCTTTACACCCCTGATGAAAGACGATATTTCCTATCTGGCCAACTTGTCCGATATGGAAGAGCGCCGGTACAACCAGCCACGATTTGCGAGTTGCTGGCGTCATCAGTACAGCCTTGCTCCAAAGCCAGGCATGCCACTTGACGTGATTGAAGTAAGTTTTCTCCACTGAACAGCTTTTGGGGTCCGGTCACCACTAACGCCATTGCAGTGGTATATTGCCATGATCCGCGAGCAGACGCATCGCGACATGGTGGCCCGCCCGCATGTGGAACGCACTATCCTTCTGGAAAAGTCTCAGGAGACAGACATGTACTGGGGATACTTTTGGGCCGAAATTGGCTACATGTTTGGACCGGCCTTTGACCAAATGACCTTGTCGCAGGCAGCCCACGCAGAGTTCACTGCTGTTGAGCGCATCCTCGCTCGCGCGCTGACTCCCCAGTAGTGGCTTGAATACATATCATCGGAGATGGGGTTTTATTGGGATGATGAATTGGTGAGTTTCTGGACAATGGGGAATTAAGGATATCACAGGATTTGGGAACAAATTGGGTTGTGGTGCTGTGACAAAACAGCTTGGCCCTTGAAACTTTACGATTGTGCTGGGCATTACTACCCCGGAGAACTTGGGCATTTTGAGAAAATGGCTGCCGTATGGGTCTTGAGGAGTTATGCTATTGCACCTGGGAGGATGTATTGGCATGGGTTTGTCCGACAGTGATTTGGCCGCGATGATTGGCTTCTTGGGGAGCATGAGGCAAGGATTTCTGCCAACTGGGCTGCGATAGTGAAGAGTCGTGAATCGGATTACACTTGCTTTATAGTAAAAAAATTTTTTTTTGGCAAATGAAGGAAACTAGATGACGGCATAGCTGCTGCCTCTTGGGTATCGATATGACAGTGATGGGGCGTATTTCGATTAAAGAAGGTGGTAGCGATGGAACAGTGCGAAGGGCCACGGACAGTCCATCATCTGATCTCACCCGTGCCTGACTTGACTGCCGGTACTCGATAATTACCTAGGCACTGGATACCTCGCATCAAGCGCTCCGTCTAGCGCCTCGTCTACCCGCTTGTTGGAAAAACAAATGCACCAGTCAATTGCGCGTCCTTTGTCATGCACTGGGCGTGGACAGGGTGACTGGACGTCGAGATTGGCTCGGAGCTAGTCGGTGAGCCGCGACGCAGAATTGCATGTTTGATGAAGCCACAATTTAACGGTTCAATGTCGCCTCTGGGTTGCATTGACCCCTGGGGATGGCTGACCCACAGAAGCTTCCTCCGCCAGGTACGAAGATACTTGAAGCAGGCACGAAGATGGGCAGGTGTGCAGGTGTACACGGCTCAACGGTTGGTACTGCCGGTACCTCGTACCTGGGTGTCATCAACTTATCTCCTGGTCAAACGCCAATTTATTTCTTCTCTCTACTTTTCCCCCCCTTCTTCTCGTCCCCAGACGTTTTTGTCCTTCGCATCTCCAGCGATCCAGCCCTTCTGAACGTGAATTGCTCGGCGGGCTTACTCTTTTTGCTAGGTGCGCTTACGCCATATTGCTTAAAAATTTAAGTAATTTATTTTAAAATATATATAAACATATTTATTTATTTTATAATATACACAAATATATTCCCAACACGGCACTGCCAGCGCCAGCGTCAGGCAACGTCACCATCAAATGTCTCCCGAACAAGTTCCCGCCACTGAGCCCGTGGCTGCGGCCCAGGCTGCTGGCGATATGGCCACTGAGACTGCCACGGAAACGGCTACTGAGACTGCCACCCCGCCTGCCGAAACTCCTCTCACCAAGCTGACTGCCCGTTTGCCTGACATCACCAAAAAGGCTGACCACGATGAGATGTGGGGGGTTGCGCTGTCCACCGACAGTGCCCACGCCCCTACGCAAGTTGTCCTCGTCAAGTTCCTCAAGGCCAACAACAATGATGTCGCTGCCGCCGAGAAGCAGCTTACGTCTGCCTTGGAGTGGCGCAAGAAGATTCAGGCCGGGAAGCTTGTGACTGAACCCTTTGACGAGAGCAAGTTTGGTGA